AGGGACAGGGAACGGGATGGCGGCAGCACTAGCACCAGCAATTCGCATCGCAGCAGCTCATCGTCCAGTCACAGGGACAAAGATGGAAGCAGCAGCAAGCACAAGTCCTCATCATCATCATCGTCTTCTGGACACCACAAGAGCTCGTCCCGGGATAAGGAGCGACGGGAACATAAAGATAAGGATCATCGTAGCAGTAGCAGCAGCTCCTCGAGTCGCGATAAGCATCGCGACCGCGATCACAAATCCTCATCATCATCGTCGAGCTCCCGTGATAAGGAGCGAAGTCACAAAAGCTCCTCATCCTCATCATCGAAGAGCAAACATTCCAGTTCGCGTCACAGCTCCTCCTCACAGTCGAAGGATCCGCCCTCCTATGATGGTGTATTCGTGAAGCCGGAGCCCGTCTCACAGCCAGCGCATGCCCACGTCAACCACACAGCAGATCCCTTCCATCTGCAGCATCAGCAGCAGCTAAATGTCACCGATCCTGCACTCTGTAATGGCCTGAGCAGCGGCAGCAGCAGCGACATGGGTGGCCATGTCCCTGGCAACGGCAGCGGCATCGATGCCAGTGGCGGTGTCTACAAGAACGGCTACGAGGAGAATGTTATGGTTATCAAAAAGGAGGATGAGAGCTTCAATTTGTCGCAGGCCAGCTCCTGTGACTACTCCATGTCCCAGTTCCGAGCCGATGAGCCACCGTTCACAGTCAAGCACGAGGATAGTACCTACAACGAGGAAGATAGCACCATGAACGATAACGATGACGATGAGGAGATGGCCGTCGATATTGATGGCGATGAGGATGAGGAGGATGTACCGCTGGCCATGCGCAAGCGCAAGCAGGAGGCACCCGATCACAGCCACAGTCAGAGCCACAGCAGCAGCCATAGGGCCCACCATGATGGCAACGATGATGATGACGACATTCCCCTGCTGGCGCGCAAGAAGGTCAAAAAGGAGCACAAAGAGAAGTCCAATAAAAAGAAGCGTATGAAAGAGGAGGCCGAAGACGATTATGGCAGCAGCAAGCACAAAAAAAAGAAAATCAAGAAGGTAAGGGCCCCTGATCCATCCCATTCTGGTGCGTTTCCCCCACCCCCTTAGCTATGGTGTCTCTCATCCCACACACACATTCCCATTCACAGGAGTCTTCCGAGATCAAGACCGAGGTTGTCTCTCCCACCAAACGCAAGGGTGCCAAGGAGGAGGAGGAAGAGGTGTGGAGATGGTAAGCTATAAGCATTCCTTGAGTATCGAATTTTTTGGCCATCTGTATGTAGATGGATCCATCCATCCATCCATCCATTACCCTTTTGCACTCTGTCTACCAAGTGCCCATCTCTGCTGCTGCTGCCCACGCAGTCGCATTCGCACTCGCATTCGAAATTCCCCGTTCGAATCGTTGACGTGTGAAGACACACACTCATGCACACACACAGACACACACAACACCCACCATCATCCAGTCTGTCTGGTTGTCTGGCTGTGCGCGCACAGCGCACACATGTGCCCTGGCTGTCATGCCGAAGTTTGAATGTCACTGACCTACATTTTGAAAGTCACAATGGCGGGCAAGAACAGCAACAGCAATAACAACAACACCAAAACAGTATGTTCCAGAAGTCTGTTTACCTTCGTATCGGTCGTGGTTACACACTTTTCTCACTCTCGCTCCATCTCTGCGTGTGTGTGAGTGAGCAATTACTGTATAAACATACTGTATATTTTTTTCGACACTGGCCAAACATTCGCCGCGCAACGCGTGCGCTTTACCATCAGCTGTTCGCTGGCCTCCCCCCAGCCCCAACCCCACAAACACACAAACCACTTTTGAGGTTATGTCAGCTGCTGCTGCCTGGTGCCTCGCCGCTTTGCGTAATGTGAAAAAAAGAAAAACAAAGAAAAAAGAGCGACATCTGACTAGCGCTTCGCTAAATGGCAACTGCGCTGTCGCCGCTGTGCCGGTGTCGGTGTCTATGGGGAAAACGCATATTGTATTTTTATTTCCAGGAGCAGCGCTTTGCTGCAGTCGACGCCAAAAGGCGTTTGCCGCGAAAGCAGCCAGCGGCCGATTCTACCGCCATCAAATGGTTATACAGATAAAAAAAAAAGACTTAAGAAATCTTCAATGAAGTATGAACCGAAACTAATGTGGAAATCGCAACCTGTTTTGTGTCCAATTCCAGGTGGGAGGAGGAGAAGCGCGAAGATGGCGTCAAATGGTCAACGCTGGAGCATAAGGGTCCAGTGTTTGCACCCCCATACGAGCGTGTGCCACGCAATGTGCGCTTCTTCTACGATGGGCGGCCATTGGATCTGTCCGAGGAGACGGAGGAGGCGGCCACCTTCTATGCAAAGATGTTGAATCACGATTACTGCACCAAGGATATATTCAACAATAACTTCTTCAAGGATTTTCGCAAATCGATGACGTCCAAGGAGAAGGAGATAATCAAAGACTTCCGCAAATGCAATTTCCAGGAGATGCACGAATACTTCCAGGCCGAGTCCGAGAAACGCAAGCAAGCGACCAAGGAGGAGAAGCTCGCCAAGAAGAATGAGAACGAGGCACTGATCAAGGAGTATGGCTTCTGTATGATCGATGGCCACAAGGAGAAGATCGGCAACTTTCGGCTGGAGCCACCGGGGCTGTTTCGTGGTCGCGGCGAACATCCAAAGATGGGCATGATCAAGCGACGTATCGGCGCCTCCGACGTTTCGATCAACTGCGGCAAGGAGTCAAAGGTGCCGCCACCGCCGCCTGGCTCGCGTTGGAAGGAGGTGCGACACGACAATACCGTCACCTGGCTGGCATCCTGGATTGAGAATGTCCAGGGACAGGTCAAGTACATCATGCTGAATCCCTCGTCCAAGCTGAAGGGCGAAAAGGATCACATCAAATACGAGACAGCGCGCCGACTGGACAAGTCCATTGATAAGATTCGTGCCACCTATCGTGACGAATGGAAATCGAAGGAGATGCGTGTGCGACAGCGTGCCGTGGCCCTGTACTTCATCGATAAGCTGGCCCTGAGAGCGGGCAATGAGAAGGATGAGGATCAGGCGGACACCGTTGGCTGCTGTTCGCTGCGTGTCGAGCACGTGCAGTTGCACAAGGAGCTGAACGACAAGGAGAATGTGGTCGTGTTCGATTTCCCCGGTAAGGATTCCATACGCTACTACAACGAGGTCGAGGTGGAAAAGCGCGTCTTCAAGAACCTCGAACTCTTTATGGAGCACAAGAAGGAGGGCGACGATCTATTCGATCGCCTTAACACCCAAGTGCTTAACGAGCATCTCAAGGAGCTGATGGACGGTAAGATAAATCTATGAGTTCTCCCCCCAAAATCATGCTAATCCTCATCCTCTGTGGTTTGTCTGCAGGACTCACTGCCAAGGTGTTCCGTACGTATAACGCATCGAAAACGCTTCAAAATCAATTGGATTTGCTCACCGATCCGAGTGCGACGGTGCCAGAGAAATTGCTCACATACAATCGGGCCAATCGTGCCGTCGCCATTCTCTGTAACCATCAGCGCTCCGTGCCGAAGGGCCATCAAAAGTCCATGGAGAATCTAAAGGAAAAAATACGCGCCAAGCGCGATGCCATCGATGATTGCGAGTCCGAATACCATGTGAGTTGGGCACGAGATCCGAGTCGAAACTTGAATTAAATTTGAATCGAATTTACATGTAGGATTTGAAAAAGGCTGCCAAACGTGGCTCGGTTAAGGAGAAGGTGAATGCCGACAAGAAGGGCAAGCAGCTGGAGCGTCTGAAGGACCAGCTTAAGAAATTGGAACTACAAGAGACTGATAGAGACGAGAATAAGACCATTGCCCTGGGCACATCTAAACTAAATTATCTCGATCCACGCATATCGGTGGCTTGGTGAGTGTTTTACCTTCCCCCCTGCCATCTCACATTTAACATTCATTTTTGTTGTTGTGTGTTTCGTTTCTGCAGGTGTAAAAAGAATGGAGTACCGATCGAGAAGATCTTTAACAAAACGCAAAGAACCAAATTTCTATGGGCCGTGCACATGGCCGATGAGAATTATCGTTTTTAAATTTTTATATAAACTTCTCCTCCGAATTCAGCATAACACACACACCGCCACACACTCAAACACACACACACAAACACACATATGCATAGACAGTGCAGGATAAGGATAAACAACCCAGCCAAAAGCATGCCCACCATCAACAACAACAACAAAACACACACACACACACCACAGAAAGGAAAAGGGAAGTCCACAGACTTTATGCAAACTGTAATGCATATTGCTGGGGAGTCCAGCTTCTGGGGATAACGTTTGATTATTACAAAAAAGTGCGCCACTCCGCTGAAGTTTAACTTGCGAATCGTCGTACACTAATTACACACACACAAGCCCACACTGCTGCTGTTATGTGGATGTCTGTGTGCGATAAACATAATTCAAAGAAAAACCTAAATTTTAATGCAAAATTGGAATGTGAGCGGATGACAACAATCGTTTGTGTCCGTCCATCCGCGGTCGTATGCTGTCTAATAACAAACAAACAAACAAAAAAAAACAAAACAAACACCAACCAAGCAAAAGAACATAATTTTTCTATGTTAAATCTGTCAAAACTAAAAAAAAAGCAACTTTTTTTTTAAACATAGAAATATGTATAGATAAATGTATCTATATATATAGTTATATATTATTTTGAAATAGGTCTTCAGCGTGATTAATGATTGATAATGGCTGATCAATATACATATATATATCTATTATTTAAATTTAATCAATATTCATTAAGTGTAAAATCACATATACGATAAAATTAAACAATTTGCAAGTTTTTTTTATGTTTACCCAATAGTTGATTTTTGTTTAGCAAAAGAAATGTCTTTTTTCACTATTAAATATAAACGATTCGATTACGATTCATTACGGATTATGTATTAAGTGAAATGTGAAGCCGATCGCTAACGAAGAGAGAGAGAAAGAGAGGGAGAGAGCCGTGTAGCCCAAAACATTTTAGCATAGCATAATTTATTCAAATGAAAATTAAACAAAAACTACAACAAAAAAAAACAAAACAAATTCTCGTAAGCAAAGAAATCCAAGCAAAAAACAAAACGCTAAAAAAAGAATGATCGATAAGTGATCGATTCAACGGTGTGCCGATTGTCTTGTACTCTGTCATCGTTGATGGATTTCGATAAAAAATGCACCGATTATTTTGTACCTTAATCATTTTAGTAAGAAAAGAAAAGAAAAAACAAAACAAAAACTGTAATAAACGAAAGAACAATTCTTTTGCAAAACAAAACATTTTCATAATTTAAGTGAGAACCGAAACTGCTTTACATACACACACTCACACGAATATAGACAGGTTTCAAAATACTCTTTCTTCTGTTTCTGCAGGCCAAAACCCAAAAATCCAAGTGCAAGTCAATCAATGAAACGATAGGAAACACCACCCAAAAAACACACACAAACAAATTTTTAGATTGTTTTTTTATTTTTTTTTATTATTATTGTGCAATTAGGCAGAAGGAAGTTAAAATTAAAATATACATGTGTGAGTGGGAGGTGGGGTAAAGTGTGTGCACAGAAAAGTCAACACTGTCCAGCCAGGATATCGTTTGCCTCTTTGATTTGTATTTTATATTTGATATATTGCCGCTTAGCCTGCTCCAGGCACACACGCTTTACCTTGCCACCCACCAACCAAACATCATATGATTTATGATGAAGTTTTGTATGTAGTACTGTACTGTATTTAAATTTAACCAAAAGAAAAAACAAAACAGAAAAGTAAAGAAACGAAAACTGGCACCTTGGGCTGCTGCTGGAATTTGGAGTTTGTGCTCCTCCGTTTGGATTGTGTGCGAGTACCCCCCTACCCCCTTTAGCATAAATAAGAAAAAAGGATTTATAAACCACTCACTCACACACACACACACACACACACATATGATAATTAGTAATTAAAACAAAACAAAAAAATAGTTTATATGCGTTAAGCTCGTATATAGACAGACAAATAAACGTGAGAAGAAGCGCTTTCAAAAGGCAAAACACCCCAAAACCCAACCCCCCCTATTGTCGCGTGTAGTCCCGTACCCCCCATACCCCTTATACACACCATTATAAACATGGCATATTACAATATTGATATAAGCAAACAAAAAACAAAAAAACAAAAACAACATAGACAAAAACAAAAAACCACAAAACTATTTTAAAATAGAAATGCAAACAAAACGATTGAACATAAGTTAAAGTAATTGTAATGGAATGATGCAAATATACATACGACAACATATATTTAATTTTAAAACTGAATTCTTGGATGATTTTGGGAAGGGAAGAGACACGAATGCCTGACCAAGGTTGGGGGAAAAAGAGAGCGTTTATTGCTTTGACCTACATCTGTGGTGGGGAAACTAGAACAACCAGCCAAGTGCATGCGCAAATAAACACAAGTACATAAAATAAGTACTCCAGTTTGAATTTCAATTCAAAACTCTAACGGCCAACGGTCTGCAGGTTGTGTTCTCTGAACTCGACTACTCCGGCTATCGATAACTGCTCAGCGTTGCCATACATTCCGTTCAAATTTGACTTTTGCGCTAACGAACGCCGTGGAAAGAGCAAAGAAAGCGAAAAACAGACGCCGCTCCTCGCAGCAAAACCTGCAGCAATTCAATCGTTCAGCAAGTGCAAATAACTATAGGCTAGTAACTATGTCGGGTGCAGCAAGTCACACACAGTTGGATAAGATGCGTGCCAGTGCCGAGGCGGTGGCGTCTCTGGCCGGCACCAACAATGCAGCACAAATGCAACAAGTGGCGTGCAGCAACAACAACAACAGCAGCAGCGGCGGCAGAAATCTATCAGCCATTATGGAACAACTGCAAGTGGATTATGGCAAATACAAATACACAGTCTATCGCTGTGCCAGCAAATTTGTGGCCCTGCAAAAGATCTTTCACAGTGAGTAGCAACACCACACGGCCAGGATGTTTAATCATCGAGCGATCGAACGACTTCCCTTCGCATGTGCAGCCAGCAAAATACCCTACAAGCTGGTGCTGGCTATACTGGAGCGGCATGGGATGCCGGCGAGCAGTGGCAGCAATCTGAATCTGATGGTGCCGCCCTTCCAGCTGACTTCACTGCTGCACGACATTTACTTTGCCTGCGAGAAGCTCGGACACTTCACCAAGACCAGCAGCTACACGCTGGAGACGGCCACAGCGCTGCTGGCGAACTTCTTCTGGAACATTTACGATCCGTAAGTGGCTGCAGCCTGCAGCAGTCCAGCCCAGTAATGCTCTCTCCTCCCTTTTGCAGTCAGCGAAGACATTCGATTTCGCTGCTGGAGATCAGAATAACCTTTCTGCTGCTGTGCAAGTTGTACAGCAGCGAGCACATGGTGGGGGATTTCTTTGGCCTGCTGGTGGAGTGCAGATCCCAGAGCGTGTCGCGGTTTGCCTTCGAGCAGCTGCTGAACACGCTCAGCAAAATGCTCAGCTATCTGGGCGAGGCCAAGGCCTACGGGGCGCACAATCTGCCGCTGATGATGGAGCAGTGCTTTGCGCGGTGTCCGCACAATGCCAGCGGGTTGGGCGAGCAGCAGTTCCACAGCCTGTGGACCACCACACAGACGCGCTTCCTCATCTATGGCAATCTTTTGGCGCTGATCAAGCGCATCGAGGACACGGAGCATCTGATACACAGCAATCCCTGCGCCGGCTGCCGGCTGGAGCATGTCATTGGCATTCGTTTCAAGTGCCAGGTGTGCCGCGATCTGTCGCTTTGCTTGCCCTGCTTTGCGGCCGGCTTTGTGGGTGGCCGCCACGAGGCGTCGCATCGCATGTGCGAGGTGTTTGTGGAGGATCAGCCACCGCAGCGTTGGACACGCTATTTGGCACGTCTCTGCGGCTGGATTGCCCATCCGCAGAAGACGCAACGCGACGGAGCGGAAGAGGAAGAGCGACGCGGCTTCTGCAATGCCCAGGAGAGTGGCAACGGTGGGAGCCTGGGGCAGCCATCCACGGCACCCGAACTGGCGCCCATACCCGCAGAGACGCGCAGTTTTCGCTGCAACTCGACAACAAAGCCGCCCATGATGGAGCAGCAGCAACAGGCACAGCCACAGCAGCCACAACAGCCACAGCAGGAGCTCTGCTCGCTGACGGGTTTGGCCAGTCAGGCCTCAAATCGCATGCAATCGATAATCGATCGTCTGCAGCTGCAGAATGCGTGAGTTCTGGCTTCGTTTGTGTCTTCGTCTTTATGGAATTACTTTTTTTGCTTGCAGCAAACTGGAGACACAGCTGCAAAAGGTTTCCACCACTTCCAGTGCCCAAATCTCCGAGTTTCTGAGCGCTCATCAGAGTTTTCTGCTGCAAATCATTGAGGACATGCGACAGCTATCGGTAGGCAGTCTGCAAATCTTGAGCCAATCAATTGTTTACCTTAATTTCGCCTGCAGCGTGCATCCACAACAACATCGCCAAAGGGGCAGGCTGCACCTTTGATTAGCTCCACTTTCCTGAACTCGAGCACGCCACAGAGACAACAGGCGTTCGATATGTATGCGCCCGTGGGCGCCAATCTGACACATTCCAGTGCGTAGTCAACGCTAGTCAACCTTCATCGATATATCCTTCATTGAATATCCTTTTGTATCCTTGCAGTTAATGGCGCCGAGCTGAACCGCAGCTATTTGGAGGCCAACAAATCGGATTACTCGCTGAACGATATTAGCTTGTGGTTCGATCAGCGACGTTCCAGCGTGCAGCATGCTGGCGGAGCAGCTCCCCAATCTTTGCCACTGGGCGCACTGCTCGAACAGCATCCGGTTAATGGCGATGGCCGGGACACAGAGATGGCCAACTTCAAGCTGCTGCTGCACAAGGTCAAAGAAATTGTCGAAGACTCCTACAGCGACAATGCCGAACTGTCGGCAGCCACACAGAATCTGGAGAACGTGCTCGACAGCATCATCAAGACCGAGGAGCATCAACGACGCAGCAGCACATGATTTCATCTATTTCTATATATGTTTTATATGTTTGTAAGCGAAACGAATCCATCCTGACACAAGATCTAAAGATCTTTATAGACTGTAAGCCATTCACAATTATGCAATCACAGAATCCAATGCTTTAATAACAGACAAGAAGATCTAATGGATCGAAATATATCATTCCATAAACAAATTGGCCATTAAATGAACCAAACAGAAAGCGTTCTCTTTGCGGCAAGGGCCAGGAAGCGATCGATGCGGCTCGCAGCTGCACAAAAGCACAAACTTCGAGCTGTAGAGGGACTCCAGAGCTTCTCCTGTAGCAGCAGAAATCTCACTCCTCCTCTTGCCCTGTTGTCCGTATCACACTTGCCAGCACATCGCTGGCCATTTGCAGTTGATGCAGATTTGTCAGCTGCTTCAAACGATCCTTTTGTTGCTCTGTTGGCTTTAGTAGCTGCGTCCAGGCCAGCAGCTCTTCGCGCAGACACGCCTCGAAAGCGCCAGCCACATCGGCGGGTGCCGCATTGTATTCGCTCAACTCCAGCACGGAGAGGTTGCAGTGCAGCTGCAGCAGATCGCGCATTAAGCGATGCAGCAACAGACGCAAACGGGCCTGGGTCCGGGCATAGACATGCCAATGCTGCCCGGGATCATCGCGTAGCAGCAGCACACCGCACCACTGCGACAGGGGCTGGCTGTTGTAGAAGATGCGCTGCTGCTGGATCGTCGTCGTGGCGGTTGTTGTGTCATAAAATGCATCAAGCATATCCACATCGGAGCCTGCAACAGAAGTTCGAGCTTACAGCAAGTTTATGGCGTGACTTAGGGGCTAGCTTACCGCGCTCAGCGGCCGCTTGATGTGTGCCCTGATCCGTTATCAGCTCGAATTGAAGCTTGGCAACGAGCAGCTGCTCGAAGCGCGCACAATCCTGCGCCGCCTGACCATCGATAAAATCCAGACGCAGTGCGCAATGTGCCACCTGGGTCATGATCACGGCCAAAAAGTCCTGGTGCAATGTGGCGGGTGCAAAGCGAGGAGCCAGTGCTTCGGGCTGCTGCAGCAGCGCCACCACATCAATGCTGGCCAAGTGCATTTGTCGCATGCTCGTCTCGGAATCCGCGATGCCATTTCTTATCTCATAGATGGCCAACAGCTGGAGCTGCTCGGCCTGCAGCAGATCCTCTAGCCGCAGACGCACCAGCAGCACGGCCGTACAATCCGGCAGCAGCTGGGAGGCCTGGGCCACAGGACGCCAGTTGAGGCGCCGACTGTGCTGATCCTGGCACGACCAGAACTGGGCCAACTCATCGTAGTCCTCGGGCGGCTGGCCATTCGGCTGCACGGGCAGCTCATACAGACGGTGCTCGTAGCTGAGGCTGTCCCCGCCACCATTGCCCAGATGGATCAGCGGCCGCAGACTGTGCAC